TCCATAGTCTGCAACTTGTACCTATATCTGGATCTTAGATAGCTGCACATTTGTTGCCCGGGGATACGGGATGTACTCGGAATACAGTGGCCTTCTGTTTCTCGTGGTTAACGTGTTTGAAATGTCTTCCATAATATATGCAAATGAACACTGACTTCATCTGCTGCTCTCCCTCCCATCCTTTACTCCCTGCAGACCCCGTGGCCTTAAAGAAGGACCTATTTGGTTACTTTTTGAAGGAAAGTTCCTGTAAAGGCTCCCTTGGGTTATCTTCAGGACAGTGAGAACTTCTAAAACCTCTCTGAGCCGTGTGGAGCCAGGCACAGAGGACTAAAATGAAGCCACAGGCAAAAATCCATACCGCCTTTTCCTTCCTGGAGGCATGCTTGCCTTAGCCCCCAGGCTGCCAGGGAAGGAGCCTCACCCGAGGGCAAGGGGCATCCATTTCCAAGGCAAGGACTCTGCTAACAGCATCTTTTGTCCTCGCCACTCAGTTCTTCTCCCCTTAATGCCGAATCCTAGGAAACCCGCACATGGGAGTTTTCAGGCAAGCTGGCCTCCGCTGGTGTGCCCTTGTCCAGGACACTTTGCCTGGTTCCCGCCCTCCAACCACCTTCTCTTTTCTGCTTTTACCTCCCTTTACCTATCTAAATGCCCCTTCCTCAAAGAAGACCTTCCTGATCTCCTCGCAACCAGATGGGATTTCCCTTTTCCTGCTGCACCTTTCAACACTGTGTTACCATTTTTCTTCTACATTTAACATGTTCTGCCTCCTGTTACGGTAATCTGAACGCCTTTCCCATCCTCTTTCCACAGTCTTTAAGGTGTTTGCTCATCTTTCTTTCTTCTGGAATGCTCAGCCCCTAACTCCTCGATGAGATGAAACCACGTGCAACTCTAGGTGTGCCCTGTCCCCTTGCTGGGCAGTGGATGGACATCTCCATTTGAAGTTCCCTATTGTTCAGACTTGAATTCATTGCCTCCTTCCCACATCCAGTGTTAAAGTCTTTCCTGCTGATTGTACCACAATTTATGTAGCCCGTCAGCAAATACTAAGAGCGTCTGTTGGAGTGAGCTAGATGATCAGCCTGCATCTCCTAAGGTGCTTCCTGTTTGACCCTCAGCATGAGCCATCTGTGTGTGTGTGTGCACACATGCTGCCTTTTTTTTTTGGTTTGTTTGTTTGTTTTTTTTTCCAGTACCGGGAATCGAACTCACGACCTTGCGCTTACCAGGCAGGCGCTGTGCTGCTGAACTAAATCCCCAGCCCCCTATGTACGCCTTCCTAGGGCCAGGTCCCAAAGTCATAAAAATACACTTGTACTATCCTTTCTATGTCTTGCAAAAAATTCACACAATAATTATTTGCTGACTGATCCTAATAAGGAATCTTTGCTTCACCTGACATACACCTCTAGAAGCTGTTAATTTCCCATCAAAATAAGTCTGAATTCCTCAGGCATTTTTTAGGGTCCCCCATATGTATCACCCTAAATTATACATTACCCCATATGCTTTACTTGCTCAGCCACAACTCATGAGAACAGGAACGTCGTCTCTCCTGCTCACCCCTCTATCCCCAGCAACTACCTAGTGATTCAATGATTATCTCCCAAGTGAGTTACTGGATTGACTAAAGAGGATATGCATGAATTACCCTACAAGAAGTAACTGCTGACTACTTGATTGGATGATTTGAGGTAATGGTAAATCGTTCAGCCTTTAGGGAAAAGAAAAAAGTCAGAATGTCTATTGAGCTGGTTATAGAAACATCTCTAATTCCAAACTCACATGGACGTCAACGGAGACCATGAAAATGCCACCTTTGGGTTAAAAACAATCTCAAATAAAAGGTGACTGTTCTTCTCTAAAATCCCGAGAGGTTTTTTGCTTTTTGTCTTTTTGTGACAGGGTCTCGCTGTGCCGTTGAGGCTGGCCTTGAGCTCACTTTGTAGCCCAGGCTGGTCTTGAACTCAAAACCATCCTCTTGCCTCAGTCTCCCGAGTGCTAGGATTACAGGCCTGGTGAATCCCTAGAGCTGTAATTCAAATTAAGGCATGGTTTTAAGGACTTTAAAGGAGGAACAGAGTCCCATAGAAGTTTGTAGCATGGATCTTAGAAGAGGACAAAACAGAAGGGCTCGCCTCAGTCTTGATAGGTGCCAAAAGTGCTGGGGGAAGATCCGGGGACCTGAAGGATGAACAGACGAGGCAAGGAGGGGCGAGGAGGAGGAGAGCCCTGGGTGGAGAGAGCGCCAGAAGTGCAACAGGGTCAGAAGAAAGCTACGCTCTTTTCCTTCCCCTTGAGAGTAACAGCACAAGATACAGTGAGGTGAAAACGCACACCAGAGCTGGACTCGGAGGGTCTACGCCCTGATTGCCCCTCCCCGCACACCCACGCGGCTCCAGGTCCCCACTTCCTGACTCTGGCTCCAAGCTGTTCCACCAGCCACTAGTAAAAGAGGGAGCTTTTAGCATTCGCGACCTCAGCTCCGTCTGCACTCCATTAACACTAACCCAGACTGCTGCTAGCAAAACTCCTTGGGGCACGCACACCCCCAGGGCCCCTGCACATCCGAGTCCGGCATCTCCACAGCACAAGTAAGAGAACGCAGGTCTCGGCAGAAATAAGGGAATTCTAAATTCATTTCCCCGATGAAGGTGAGTGGTGGGGGGACCGAACAGAAAAGACAAATGGGAGGAAGAGGGAGCGATGGTACCAAGACAAAAGACCCCGAGAGTTGGCTGTTCCAGCTGGCACTTCTCAGGCTGCCACGGTGCCCGGCCGGGGCCCAGGAGGGCCTCACATGCTGGCTTCGCCCCTCTCAGTGTCAGCAGCTTGTGCCGACGGAGACAGCCGTGCTTTGCAGCAACGCTCCAACATGAAATCGGCAGCTGAGCTGCAAGGTCGTCACTGCCTGTACCCGCTGGCTTCTGTGTTCAAGTTTCTCAGGTCCTGGTAGTCCTGTGTTCCAGGGCTCTCTCAGTGGCCATCCCGTCTGCATCAGTAAGCTTTAGTACAAAGCCAAGGACCCGTCGTAAGGGCCCTGGGGAGAACCAGCACGGCGTGGCACGGGGCTGGTCAAGACTCTTGAGTCCTCCTCCCCGCTGTGTTTTGAGCAGGAAATGACCCATCTGAGGATTCTCATTTCCAGGCTGTGGAGTCCACTGCGGCGCCCCTTTCTGTGCTACTAAAGTGGGGCAGAGATTAGAGGAGCGGCTCACAGATTCCCCACGGCCAACCCACAAGAGAGAGCATTTCTGCGGCTCAAGGAGCACACGAGCCACCCTCGAGATCCCTCTCTCAGGTCAAGGTCCCCCCACTGAGGGGAGCCTGCCCCAGCTCACAGCATCCGGGGCCAAAGCCACAGGACAGGTGAGGCTCAGCGTCCTCTGAGACGGACAAGGCTGGCACGGGCCCGCCGTTTTGGCTCACAGAGAAGGCAGATACCAAAGTCGGTATCGGAGTCAGCCTTGGCCTGGCTTTGGGTCCTTCTCATCCTTAAATGGACACCAAGGAAGGAGCTGCTCAAGTTGTCCCCTGGGCCACTTCTCCAGTACTGTCCTGAACTCGTAGCCTTTCACCGGGTGGTCGTGTCACTGGCAGTCCCACCTCCCTGCTGACCGGTCCCCGAGGCCCGGCCCTCTGCTGCAGAACCCAATAAGCTATGGACTGGCAGGCGGCAAAGAGCGGTGTTCGGCTGCTCTGCAGACCCACAGGCCATGTCACACTTGCTCTGTCCCCTGGGGGCCATGGATTCTCAGGGCAGACTGCCTGTGCCTGAGGCCACTTCTCCCACCGACTAGCAGCGTGACCCTGGACAAAGGGCTTCTGCTCGGTGCCTCGTTCCCCTAGTGCGGTGATGGGGTAACGACATCCCTACCTTGGGGCTTGTGGCCAGGCCCAGGGGTCGAGAGGACAGGGCTGCCGCACACGAGAGCTTGGTGTCTGCTGCTGCTGCTCACGAGGAGGAGGAGGAGGAGGGACACAGACATTCCCAACTACGCAGTGCGTGTCACCAGCCTGGGACTCCACGTGCCAGGCTCACAGTCCCTGCCTGTGAGTTGGAGCGGACTCATGTAGCACGGCCTTTATCCCTCACGACACACAGCAGTGCCCACAGCTGCACTCCTAGGAGGCGCGCTAGCAGGAGCTGAATCCAATTCACAGCTCCCGGGCTAAAGCTCAGTCTCTGCCACGAAGCCACATCCAGTACTCAAGAGCAAGCGGAAATGTGGTTTGCTGGCACCACGTCACCTTTGCCCTGCAGCTGTCAGCTGGGCCAGATGGGACCTGAGTGTTTCATTGTATTTTTTATTTATGTATTTATTTTTGGAAGACGGTCTCACAGAGTCACTAAGTGACCCAGGCTACGTTCCAGCTTGCGACTCTCCTGCCTCAGCCTCTCCGAGTGTGAGGCATTTTACTTCAAGGAAAAGGCTGCCTTCTCCTGGGGTTAAGAACAAAAACCACTTGCACACTACCCAAGTTCGCGCTCCGCTCCCTGGTGATGTACGCCCGGGCCTCCTCACTGTCAGCCTGTATTTCGTACTCGGGGTGGCCCTGGGGGTTTTTCCTGTGGAGCAGCATGACAGCTACCCACAGCGGTGGCGGTGTCTGTGAACTTCTGTTTTCTGTTAACAGAGGACAAGTGGCTACACTAAGTACCCAGAGAGGCCTCTGCCATAGCAAATTCCTCAGGCCACAGGCCTCCGGAGTGTGAATTTCCCCTCCACCTGGCCTAGGAATTTACCGTCTGGACCTTCCCTGGTGGCTGGTGTGCTTGTCCCGTCTTGCGGTCACCTTAGACGCCCATCCGGCACCCCACCCCTGCTGCCAGTATGCCCACCCATTGCCCTGGATGGAAAAGTAACTTCCCTGGCCATTTGCACCGGGACTTGGGGACCTGGGTCCCACCAGGGTGACCCGTGAAGGACAAACGGAAGTGTTTGTTTGCGCTTCCTCCTCGGCTAAGCCTGGACCACAGCGCCGGCTCTTACCTGCGCGGTGAAGAAGGCGGGGGTGAGGGACCCCGAGGGGAGCGCTGGGCTGTTGAGGGCGATGGAGCCGAGGTCGGTGCCCGAGAGCACCAGCGGGGGTGCGGAGATTTCCAAGCCTTTGGGTTTTTTGCCTTTGGGGGGAAGAGACGGAGACTTGGTCTTGGAGCCCGATGACAGGTTCAAGGGCTCCAGGGAATCCGAGTCTTGGCCGCTGGCCTCCAGGAAGAGGCTTCTGTGTTCGGAAGGGAGGGGCGAGTTGGGGGAGAGGGATGGGGACCGAGAGGAGGAGGGCGACGCGGAAGAAACGCTGGCGGCGTTTGGCAACATTAAAGAGGAGATCTTGGCTGAGACGGACGAGGCCAGGAAGGCGGAGGCCGCGGCGGCCTCGGAGGTGGAGGGCAGGGACACCACGGGCCTGGTGACGTGCTTGTTGCTTTTATTGGTCACAAACCTGATCACAGTCCGGACCTCTTCCACCGGGGGGCTGTCTTCCAGGGGCTCCTCCAGCTTCTCCGTCTTGATGGTCTTGAAGGCCTCCGGGGGGTTCTGCAGGGAGTTGATGGTGAAGGACGAGTACAGGCCCGAGTGGAGGTACTCGTTGCGGCTCGTGCTCTTGAGGGCGGCCAAGCCGTGCTTGTCGGGGGCCACCTTACAGTCGCTGTCCTGCAGCAAGAGGCTCTCCCGGCTGATCTCCACCGTGTGAGGATCCATTTTCAGGATCTCAGGGAAAGAGACGAACTTGTACACAAACTTCTGCCCAATCACCTTCTTGATGATGTTCTGCGAATACACAAGGAGACATTTAAGGGGTGAGCGCCCCTGGCGGCGTGCTGAATGCTGCCGGCAGAAGCCCCGGGATGGTCCCCACGGGCACACGCGGAGGGACAGTGAGAGGGGGAGCCAGGCTGCGGGCCGACGGACTGGACCTGCGTGTGGCTCTGCCAGGCAGTGGGCGTGAGGCCTTTGGCGGATTGACGGCCCTCTGTGCTCTGTAAGGTGAGGACTGTTACTGCTAATAATACAGTCGCCATGCAGTAAGCCCTTACTATGCGGCTGGGATTTCTCATATCCTGCTTTAGATAATCTGTATAGCAGTCCTAGGAGGAAGAAGTTGGTATTCCCGTTTTAAAAACTAAAGGGGCTGGGGATGTAGTCCCAGTGGTAGAGCAATTACTTGTCATGCCCAAGGGCGTGGATTTGATCCCGAGCACCCCCCAAATGAATTTAATTAATTAATTAATTAAGAAAGGGAAGGGAAGGAAGAAAGGGAGAAAGAAAGATGATCTTAGGTTGCTTAAATAACATAGATCCACCTGGCAGGCAAGTGGTAAGGCAGCATTTCCTCAGCCATATCCCAGCACTGTCCTGCCTACCTCAGGAGGCATAAGAAGGTGATACGATCAGAATGGGAAAGCGCTACAGAAATGTAAGTTACATCACCAAATGCCACAACGTTTTCTTAAGTTGTGTAGCCATTTTTGCCTTTTTCATTTTCTGCTAAGAAAGCCCCTGGAGGAGAAAGACATTGTCTACTTGGGTATTTATGACATCTGTGTGGTATTTTCAGTAGCTAGTATCTACTTCTGGCCGTTCAGTTTAGGCTCCGGTCCACAAACGTTAGAAATGTAAAGGAATCACAGCAGTCGCTGCAAATGTTTGCACAGTGCTTTGGGAGCAGGGATTTTCTACGAGAGGCTAGACCATCCTTGAGGGTTGTTAAGCTGGTACATTAACTCCCTGTGGAATATACCAGAGTCGTATCTGTCAGGTGCTTGCTGGTGCGGCACCCTGCGGCTGACCTGCAGGTTCCAGGTGCGCGAGGGGGACAAACATGGCCTCCCTTTTGCATGCACCATCGCAGCCCTATGGGGACAGGACTCTGAACGTCTTACAATCCGTACCTCCTGAAAGAGGAGTATAAATGAGGGTAAAGCCAAGATCCTCTGGGGAAGCAGTGCTTCAGGAGTGCCTCTCTGAGTACCTTTCTGAATCAAGCAAGCCACCCCACAGGATCCCCACACCCACCCTCTTGGCGGGCAGAAGGCGTCATCCTTCCACCTCCCAACACGAAGTTTCAGCGGTGGGGTCACGTGCCCAAGAAACGCCAAGACTGACTGGCTCTGAAGCCTGAGCTTTCTCATACCTCCACACAGATGTGGAGGAACAACATCAAAAAACCCCAGTGGAGGTGAAATGTCATTAAATTTAAATCTGTGACCATGTCTTGGGTCTAAACATAAGCATGTTAGGTGATATGCCACCACCACTACCCCGCACGCCATCCTGTTACACTGTGGCATTGTGCTCTGCCTCCTGCCCCTTAAGTGGCAGAAGGGCAGGGCACACTGACCTTGCCGCTGAGATTCCCAAGAAGGAATTCCTTGGGGCAGTATCTAAGGGAGGGACACGAGGTCCCCCTTTCACACAGGAAATCCCAGTCCTGGCGGTCCCACAGAAACCTTGCCCAGCACAAGCCCAAACTGAGGGACCCGTGAGATTAGGTTCAAAGCTGAACAGTAGCAGTGCCAGCATGTTGGGGCTCAGGCCTGCAACTCCCCGCCACTGAACCCCATTCCTCTAGCTGATCTCAATCCCACACCCGCACTGGCAAACCTTCAGAGAAATTTGAGAAACTGAAGATTTCTACCTGCGCTTGTTTGACAGCGTCTCTGCCATATACACACTAGGCCTGGGTAGAGAATGTGCCAGGGAAAATCAGCTCCCAGCAGGGGAAGATTACACATGGGTGTCACCGGGCCCACGTGACCTGCAGTCAGACCCCGTTAGAAAGTGTGCTGGCCCAGAGCGCGAATGCTTCACCTGCTAGAACTCCAGGATATTTCTGTTTTTACCTCATAGTTTTTTCCTCCCTGGGGGGAAGACTTTTTTCCTTAGCCAGTGGGAATCCTCATCTAAACTGACCGAACTTTTTAAAAGCCTAAATACTTATACAGAAGAAAGAAAAAGAGCAACTGAAGAGTTTGAATTATTTCTTCTGGCAGGTGTTTTTTGTTAAATCTTTAATTTTCTTACAGGGTCAGAACACAATGTCTGAGGAGGGATTATATTCCTGAAAAAAAAAAAAAAAGAAAAAAAGAAAAAACAAGAACAAATTTAGGGCTGTGATCAATGTGATTTTTTAAAAAATGTCTCTCCTCCTTAAATAATGGTCAGGAATGCACAGGCAGTCAGACACGGAGCTCCTGGCCTTACTAGGTGAAAGAGAACAGAAGGAAGGTCCACGAATCCACCACAGACAAATGGCTTCACAACGTGGTTCTTACCAAGGAACACAGGCTGTGGAGTGGGAGGAAGCCCTGTACCCACTACAACACGGATGCACCCAGCATTCCTGCTCAGTGAAAGAAGCCAGATACTGAATCATAAAGGCCACATATGATACGATTCTATTTACAGGAAATATCCAGATAAGCAAAATCCACACATCAGAAAGTAGAGTCCAGTAACCTAAGCCTCAGAAGGCTGAAAAGGTGTAAGGGTTTCTTTTTTGGATAATGAAAATGTTCTAAAATCAATTTTGGGGATGGATGGATGGATCTGAATATAAGCAAAGCCACTGAACTGTATATTTTAAATAGGTGAATTATATGCTGAGTGATTTACATCCCAATAAAGAACATGAGTGGTAGGTAGCACATGCCCATAATCCCAGCTACTCAAGAAGCCGAGGCAGGAGGATTGCAAATTCAAGCCCAGCCTGGGTAATTTGGCAAGACCCTGTCTCAAAATAAGAGAAAATAAACATAAAGGGCCACGGATGTGTTCAATACCAATCCCCCACACACACACGCACCCTACAAAGACTAAGTATTTTTCCCATTTTAAAGGAAAACCGAGCACTTGCTACCGCTAGACACTGAGTCCATTAAGGGCTAACTCTTCTTGTGCAGATGAAAAGGGGGCGCAGGGAAGGGCCTGCATCAGCCACCCTGAGACGATTCCAGGGAAAGTTCGGGCAGTGAGGGGATAGAGGCCAAAAGGAGGCAGTGGTTACAGCCCCGAACTGGGGGCAGCCAGGTGGCAGCCAGGCAGTCCGGCCTCCACCTCTGGCCACTATGGAGGATGACGTGGGTAGGCAGGGCTCTTAGTATGATAAGTGACGAAGATATTTAGAAACAGTCTTTTTTGCACCCTTCCATCCCAGACTCCCAAGTATTTGTTGCTTCCGGTTGCCTGGCAACCTAAGGAGTGCTGGTCTGCCTCCAGGGGCGCACAGTGACGCTCAGTGTGGTCTGAGAGACAGCTGCACACTCTGCCTCCTTCACACATGCGGGACCTCGGCGTGTGAGCTCACAACTGGCTCCATCACCCGGTTCCCCGGTCAGCCACAGGCCGCAAGGTCAGCATCCACGACAGGCCCCAGGAAAAGGAGGACAGTGGATTCCAGGATGAATGCACCGTCACCCTATCCATGCTGTCATCTGACAGGCGCCTTGGGACAGGCAACCCAAAGGGGACAGGAATATGGCAGTCTGGGGCCCAGGGCCCTTTCCACTGAGTGCCCAGGAGAGGATCCCAAGGTTATTTCACCCCAAAGTCAGAAAACACCCATTTGCATTGCTCACAATGCTGTCTGCTGCTCTGACGGATTACAGGTGTTCCTGGAAGACCAGGTGTGTCCATGGGTGTGTTTAAATATGCTTGGGTGTGCATGCATCAGCACACACACCCACACAGTCCACCCTGCCTTCTGTCTTTCAAAAGGAGAAAGGAGTGTGAAGAATCTCAAATACATCACCCCCAAACCCGCTCACATCCTTATATTATAAAATGGCATGGTATTTACGTACCTCTCTTACACTTTACATGAATCTCAGATTCCTTAGAATGCCTTATACAACATAAATGCTACAAAAAAAGGTTCTACTGTATTTATGAAGTAATGATACAGAATAAAGATCTGCACATGTTCAGCACTGATGCAATTTCTTTTTTCTGCCCTGAATGTTTCCCATCGAAAGTTGCAGTGGGTAGATGAGAAGCGTTTCTATTAAGTTCTATAATTTTTTTTTTTTTTTTTTTGGCGTTTTGAGGCAGGGTCTCACTATGCAGTTCAGGCTGGCCTTGAGCTCACTTTGTAGCCCAGGTTGGCCTCGAACTCACAACGATCCTCCTGCCTCAGCCTCTCGAGTGCTGGGATTACAGGCATGCGCCGCCACTACCCACTAAGTTTTATAATTTAAAAAAATATATACATGGAGAACTACGTAATGAAGAGATGCTTGTGGAATTAAATTTACCTTCTCTTCATATTATAGGATGTTAAGGTGATACTAAAAAAAGTTAACTAAATGCTCCTTAGTGAATGAGTATAACTAATTGCAGGAGAAGTGACCCACACGGGAAGCCAGAAGCTAAACCCAAGCAGATGCACGTTTCTGAAGGCGAATTCCCAGGCTGGCTGAAGCTGGGTGTGTTGGTGAGACCCGCATATGCTTTTATGCTGGCATTTCTAAACTGAGCTCTCTCGGACACTGGCGCCATATGTACATCTCTGCAGCCTACAACCTCACACCTCCCTAGAGAGCGTAGTAAGGCGTAAGGTCACCTGCCCACTGGCTCAGCACACGTGTCCCCGCGTGTCTGTCCATCTGTGCTGCTCGGCTGGGTCTCAGGCCGTGCGTCTGGCTTCCATGCACCCACCCTTCTTATCCACTCCCCCATCTCCGCCCCAGCAGGAGCCAGGTCTTCGGAGTTCCCCGGGACTCAGCTCCCCTTCCTTCAAAGCTCCACCCTTCAAGGGCTCCCCAGATCACAAG